CACCAGGAAGAGCGAGAAGGTGGTGCCACAGTTTCGCAGAGGGTAGCGCGTCTGGACTCCACCTAGAAGGATGTACGTTGAGGGATGGGCAGGCACTCCTCTCGCTCATAATATGTTCCATGTGCTTGGTATATGTCTGTCTTGCCCTCTCTTCACTACCAACACCAAATTAATTCCCTTTAAAACAATTCAATCAGCATTTCTAGCGAGTCTGCTAGCCCACCAAAATATGTCTTCACAAAATTACACAATTAAACTTCAGCCGTGCAGCGCCTTACAGAACACACCAGAGGTAGGGTGTGAAGAGAAGAGGGGAGGTGACGAGAGAAAAGGAGGTGAATTGGGGCAGGTTGGCATGCGTGTAAAGAGGAGCATTGTGGCCACAAGGAGGGGCGGGCTAATAGGCGCGTACAAAATACCAGTTGAATTGTGGACAACGAGAATGGAATAGGTGGAGTTATAGGAAGGGCGAGAGAGACAAATGATGAGCTTTACTCACATGCCAACCTGATTCATCTCATCTCCACCTTACCTATCACATCACATCTCCCCTCCTCTGCTCAGCTGCACCTTACTTTCTATCGGACGTTGCACCACAACCGTTGCTTTTACAAGCGAATTCGGCAAGTTGGAGAAAGATAAGACGGAAAATAAGCAGAGGAAGCAAGAATGGAGGACATCAGCTTTTCTTCACCCACGCTTCCTCTCCCTCGTGCCCACAACACTCCTGTTTATTTGCATGCTACCCTCTCCCATCTCACCTTCACCTCACTTCTTTCCTCTCCTCTCATCTTTTCTACTCTCATCAGCTCTCTCTCCTCTCTATGGGCCACTACACCTCCACATTTGCTTCTGCGTTCTGTAATGTAGAGTAGTGTACGAGAGGGTAGAGGAAATGAGGCATGACAATAAGAATGGGGTAGAAAGGTGGAAGGAAGGGAGAGAGGGAGGTGAGATAAAGGGAATGGAGAAAAAGCACTGACCCCGACGTGATTTGAACACGCAACCTTCTGATCTGGAGTCAGACGCGCTACCGTTGCGCCACGGAGTCACACTACCACCATCACCACCACCACGAACCATGACGGGTACAGCATTACAGCATTGCTGTGACATTGGTTGTCACCTCAGTATCACCACGTGGAGCG